ATATTAAAAATAAAAAAATATGCATGCACACTCTCTCAGCCCCAGAAAAGCCATGGCAAAACCCCTGTGGAGATTTTGCCAAGAAAACCCCAAGAACAAGTAATAACAGCAATAATCAATATCATCATGGCGGGCAGCGGTGGCGGCGGCAGGACTGGCCTGGGGCCGGTCCAAAGTCTTCAGGGGGCCGCATCCAGCCCCCGGGCCTTAGGTTGCCTACCCCTGGACTAAAGGGTTAACATCAGGCCAAATGGCATTTTCTGCAGTTCAGCTGACAGAATAATACGAAGTGTTTATGAAACAAATGTTTACAATATGGATGTGATTCAGATCAAAGGATCCCTTCAAATTTATTATTTTAATCTCTCCTATTGTCAGATGTCGGTGCTGTTTTATATATAGGCAAGGGATTTTATGCAAATAAATTACTTGTACTTGGTAGAACAGTGGGAATCATGTTCCACAATAAGGATGTGTGGCTGGATTTTATTTATTACTGCAGAAGGAAAAAAACCAACAACAGGCTTCAGGCGGATACAGACAACTGTGGTTGCTTTTGATGCTGCAGGAGATGTATGCGCACTCTTTGAAGTCAGATACTTTTTCTTTAACAGCCTTCGACTTTGTGATTGTGTTGTCTAATGCGCATGGCTTTTCTCCTCCCACACAGCTGTCCAGAGCCTTTGTTTTTGTTTGTACTCAGCTGTGGCTTTCTGTGTCATCTGAACTGTTAACTGTGGTTCACATTAACCATGTTTCATTTAAATAAGCCAGCTTAGCCGGGTGTTGTTGTTGTTGTTTTGCAGAGGTAGGGGTTGTTTTAAACCAGTTTTGGGCTGGATCAGCACTGCAGAAACAATCCATTTTGACACCCTTTTAACTGGCATTCTGGGAGGCACCAAAGTTCTCTGACAGAAAAGGCTAAATATCTCACAGAACAAAAGTTCCCAGAATTACATAGCCTTGAACCATGGCAGTTAAAGCAGTGCCAAACTGGATTATTTCTGCAGTGTGGATGTAGCCATAGTCGATACTAACCAGAAGGGTGTTTTTTTGGGTTTTTTGGCCTGGATGATATAATAAATTGCCACTTCTGTCAAACTCTAGATTTTTATTTTTGTGTTGTTCCACTGAAAATGGAATCAACTGATCTTTCAGAGCCCATCATCGATTTCAAAATTACTTAGTAGTACAAGGGAAATACTGAAGGACTGAACAGACATGGGTTTGCAACTTGGAAGCTAGGATACAGTCCTCCTTCCCCCTTTATTAAACTTCTACTTGGGCTTTTCTAAAGATAAAAGTGTACCTGTGTTTTTGAAGTGTCGTTCCAGTTTAGTCAACCCAAATCTTGGCTTAATGAACTGACATAGGCATTACCTTCAGGCACTTGCATGCTGCCACTTTGTGTGAGCAACCAAACAATCTGGAAGCCAAGGTTCACCGTAGCTTCCTATTATCTCCAAACCAGAAGCTATGTTTAATGGCTGCCATACAAACAAAACTTTAAATTGTATTATGCTTGTTTGGAAGTCATTAGGCAAAATTTCCTGATTTGGATGTAACAGCCAGCTATAGGTGCTGTGGTTTCCTCTTGCTCACAAGGAGGATAGAGTAAAACAGCTATAAATGCCCTGAACTTTATGTATATCTTGGGGTTATGTAGCTTGTTCATCTGAATGTGACCAGCATGGGTCAATTGCAACAACTAAACATTTCCTTTGCAACAATTTGTTCTTTTTATGCATTTCCTGATTAATTGTTTTTTAAAATTTAACAGTTGGTAAATCAGGATACATATTTCTGGACCCAACCTAGTAAAATTATTTTGAATCTCAAAGAGGAGCCATAGTCAGAACGGCCATGCTGACTGTGGGCTTTTTGCAGTCCAAAAAGGTGCCTTTTCCAACTCTGGTGTTTGCAGAGTATCTGCTTTGTATAGCGAAGATCTCAAAGTAAAGGTACATGTGAGGGACTGCTCCATAATCCATCCTCCTGTTGTTTCTGAAAATTTTATTAATGAATTACATAAGCAGCTGAAGAATACTGAAATCTGGACTAGAGACACTATGTAATATTTTTAATTTAAAACCATATGAAGACCCATACTGGACCAGAACAAAGTCTTATCTAGTCTTCATACAGTGGCCAAGAAAATACCCCAATGGGCAGCCTACAAGGAGGGTATAAAGTAGGCTCTCAACATTAACTACGCTTAGGGGCACAGGACCCCCGTGAAAATGGAAAAACCACAAGTAAAGAAGCACTACCTTTTTAACCTGAGAGAACACCTCTCTAGGAATCTCTAGGTCTTCCAGAAGAACTCTCTGGTCAACATTTTCCAGAATTTGACCACAGAATCATGCTGGAGGACCTGCAAATGCCTAGAGAAGTGTTTTCTCTAGGAATCTCTAGGTCCTCCAGTGCAACTCTATGATCAACTTCCGGCAGAATTTGTAGCAATTCCTAGAAAGAACATATTAATCAAATCCAAAAATAATCAAATCTGCAAAAGTCAAACCCACAAATGTGGAGGGCTGACAGTAATTACAATCATGCTTTCCGATTCATGCTCCACAATAACTGATACACTTGTTGTTCATGCTATTTGTTGCCTTAAAATCTCTCAGACTTTTGTTGTGGTTTTTGTGTGCCTCCAAGTTCATTTCTGACTTATGGCGACCTTAAGGCAAACCTATCATGGGATTTTCTTGGCAGGATTTGTTCAGAGGAGGTTTGCCATTCTCCCATTGCCTTCCCTTAAGACTGAGAGCATTTGACTTATCCAAAGTCACTCAGTGCATCGGGAATTGAAACTTGATCTCCATAGTCACTGTCCAGCATTCAAATCCACTACGCCACACTGACTCCCTAGTTTTCACCAAAAGTTGGAAAATATTTAGGAGAAAGAAGAAGATGCTTCTGGCCTGATTTCAAGGTGTTTGTGATGACATTTGAAGCCCTAAATGGCTTTGCTCCTTGACACTTGAAGGAGCATTTCTCCTTATATAAGCTCTGTGTGGGTGCCAAGTAAATACATGCCTGCTCATTAAAGCCTTTGGGGCCTAATTGATACATTCCAGAATATTTAGGCTTTTAACCTTCTTAACCTGCATTTTAACTTAGATGATATGTTTTTAATCTATTTAAATTATTTTTAAAACTCCAGCTGCTTTAATCTGTTAACATTGATTTTACCCAGAGGGCGGCGTGCGTGATAAAATAGTATATAAATATTTTAATAAATAATAAATACTAAGAACAATAGAATAACAGATATAATTTGGCACCAAGTAAAACCTCTGCTAGGAATTCAGGGCAAATAGATGCCTAGGAGTGCAGCATGATGTAGTGGTTTGAGCATTGGACTATGACTCTGGAGCCCAAGATTTGAATCCTTGGTCAGCCATGGAAATCCACTGGTGACCTTGGGCAAGTCACACTCTCTTAGCCTCAGAGAAAGGCAAAGGCGAACTCCCTTCTGAACAAATCTGGCCAAGAAAACCTTGTGATAAGGTTCTCCTTAGGGTCACCATAAGTTGGAAGTGACTTGAAAGCACACAACAAAAAATATGGCCTATGGTCTGACCTGAGCTTTGAAATATTACTCTTCTGGACCATAGCTCCCCACTCACCCAATACCAGCATTATTCTTCTGAACCACAGTTACCAGAATCCCCAATCATCATAGCCGGTGGCCATGTTGGTTACATTATTCTGGGGATTTTAGTCCTAAACAGTAAAATTTCCAAGATCTGGGTCTGAGCCAGTCTAAGGCTACTCTATATATTTTTGTGAGAGTGGAGTCTGAGCCTTGCCTTGTAATTGTGCATTTCTGAATCTCCCAAGTCTTCTGTTACATAAGCTGCATTGAAAAACGGGGATTGTGTAAGCGTACAAAAAAACATTTTGTGATGGCTGATTGAAAAATTATTGTCTCTTATGCTGTGTCTTGACTTGAACTTTTGCACAGTTTGGTGCCATGTGCAGCTGTCTTGTACCATGAATACCAAGCATTGGGATCAGAACTGGAAGGTTACTTTTTTTGGTGCTATAACTCCCAGAATCCCATGACTATTCTGTCCCAGAAAAGATACTCCCATCTGCCAAACAATACATTTCTGTGTAAATGTTGAGGTGATGCACCTTTAGGAACCATGTCTGTGCCATGCCATTTCTGATTGTAGAGAGGGAAAAGGCCTTGTTGTCCTGCTTTCCTTTTTGCTACTGTGGAAGGTGAATTTCCATGACCAAGTGAGGTTTTGCACTCTTGTGTGAACCTTGCAAGTCTTTATTTATTTAAACTTATTTTTAGCCTGCATGTAAGGGTGGAACCCTTTCAAGCCATTATTGAAGATAAAAAGGATACAAATTAAATACCGACATTCAATTAAGACAAATCCAATAGGGACATGAAATTACCAATCAAAGAAACGTAGGGGCAAAAATACCAGTGTCTACTTCAGTTCAGTATAACAGCCAGTAGTTTTTGGTTGTCAAAGAGATTATTGAGCCTGTCTAGAGTTCTGCCTGTGTTGGATTTGTTACCCAAACTGTCACAAATTCAGATTATATTTTGGCATAGCTGTAGCTAGGCTATCTATTTTGTGCACAAATGTTATGGGTAATACCAACCAGAATAGATTTATTGAATCAATGGAATTTAACTATATATTTGACATACTGCTCCACCAATGATTTTAATGGGCTTTCTCTAGTTAGGACGAACCAATAGGATTTGGGCCAAAAAGTCCCAAGGTCAACACCCAGCATGCGAAAGGGATTTGTGTAATGGGAGTTTCCCTCAATCTGATGCCCTGGAGAGATGTTGCTACTGGGATTGGATCTGATGGCATTAGGCAACTTGCTAGGTTCCCAAATTGTCTTAAGGAAGACCTGTAGCAGAGATAGAGCATATGCTTTGCAAACAGAAGGCAGGCTTTCAGTATGTATTCATGATGATTGGCATTCTGACCCCCATTTTGCCATGAGGTTTGATAGCTAATGTAGTGTAGTGGTTTGAGCATTTGACTATGACTCTGGTGACAAGGGTTTGAATCCCTGCTTGGCCATGGAAACCCGCTGGGTGACCGAGGGAAAGTCACACTCTCTCAGCATCAGAGGGAGGAAAAGGCAACAAATCTGGCCAAGAAAACCCAGTGACAGATTTGACTTAGGGTAGCCATAAGTCAGAAACAACTTGTTGGCGCACAACAACAGTTATCTGTGCTCTCCAAACATCTGGGATAAAGTTGCATATTTACTAGTCAGGTGTGTGAACTGGTTATGGGGATTCAGGAGATTGTGACTACATATGGAGGTATAAGAAGCTAATTCTTCCTCTGTAACTTTCTAACAGTTTCTTCCCAGTTTCTTCCCAGCTCACATTGTTAAAAGCAATGTTTTTCATTATGCATTTCCTAATTAATTGTTTTTTTCATTATTTCATTACCATCAGTTACTGTAACAGTTTTTGGCAATATATTATTGGTTGTGTTTACTGGTAACATTTCTTTTGGTCTTTTCTTACTTTTTATTGGGCAAAAACAAAAACCAAAACAGGATTGATAAGAAAATGGCCTAACAGTTGAAAAAGTGATTTTAAAAATTCCACTCAAAATATTTATAAAAATGATCTTAACAAGTAACTTTAAAAAGGAACTAGAAAAGCTTATGCATTCTCATTCATTGCTTTTGAAATCCTTCTCTATATACTTATTACCCCAAAGTAACTAGTCAGATGTAACTAGATTTTGTTGTTGTTGTCAAATGTGTCGATCTATTACTTTCAAACTAAGTTAAGTTGTAAAGGGTAATTCATTTGAAAGTGAAGCATGTTTCCTTGGTGTTTTTTTTTTTTTTAATGGAAAATGACTTAAATATAATTTCCTTGTGGAGAACCCTTCACTGAAATTTCCCATGGTTGTCATTTGGCAAAGATCATAAACAAACACATACGATATTGTGTGAGTGATGATTTAAAAAAAATAAAGTACCGTATAATGAAAGGAGAAGAAAGACAGGTTCTATGTTATATTTCCTTCCCTGACACTGTGAAATCTTGTAGAAACTGGGGCTGTTTAGTTAAAGGTCACAGACATTTTTAACTACTGCTTCTGGCTCCTTGCTATGCATATGATTGTCCACTATCTCATTGACCTTGACAGTGCTACGCAGTTGTATTTTCACCCCAATGAACTCTTTCTGAACCATTTCTCAAGTGAATGCCTTCGCTATAGGGAGAGAAGCTGCAGC